TTCAGTTTTTTATCTGTTAAAAAAGTTTGACACATTCAATAAATTTCATTCCACTTCATGATTGTGTCCCACTTGTTGTTCATTCTTCACAAACAATTAAAATTTTATATCTTTATGTTTGAAGCCTGAAATGTGACAAAAGGTTGAAAAGTTCAAGGGGGCCGAATACTTTCACAAGGCACTATATGTCTGGGAAGCACAACAGGTCACTGAGCGACACAACATTTCTACTAGAGACTTTGAAGGAGCTCAAAATGGTCTGTATCACCTGTAGCTCAGTCAGGGAGTGCAGTAACGTCTCCACCGTCATTAAAACCTGTCACGGCTCCATTATGGGCGCTCAGCTTTGTTTACATTCATCCTAGAAGTAAACCGGAAGTAGAACTACTACTACTTCTGATTTTTTTAAAGGAAATTTTACCACTCTGCGCATGTCGGTACTTCTATTCAGAATAAAAGCCCACTGCGTGTAAACGCTCGTCGTGAATGGATTGTGCTCATGTAAACAATACATTTGGATTATTTAATCTGAAAACATTTCAATCCGATCAAAGAATTTTGCACATGTAAACATAGCTACTGTCTAAAGACAACTCTTGCCTTCCACAAATGCTGCTTAAAGCTCCAAAGTTTAAAGCTTGAGGCTTAAGGGTGCATTCACACCAGCCCTGTTTAGTTCGCTTTAATCGAACTCTAGCTCATTTTCCTAGAAAGTCCGGTTCATTTAAGGAGGTGTGAACGCGCCATCGAACTCTGTCACGGAACAAAAAGGCGAACTCTGGCCCGGGCTAAAACCTAGGTCTGGGTCCGGTAGAAGAGAACTCCAGCATGGTTCCAGTGCAGCGTGAATGTAAACAGACCAGGCCCCGCTCCGCAGGGTAAACAAACACACATTTCTCTGACCTTATATGGAGCCGTCAGCTGCCTTGTGTGGAAAACAATATTCTCCATGGTCTTCTGTCTCATCTTCTGCTCATGCTGAGTCCATTTTTGAAAAATGACAAAATATAACTCTTAAAACTGCTAAAACTTGATGCCACTTTGTTTATATTTTTATTTATAGAAGAAGAAGAAGAAGTGTCTTCAGAGGTTTTTGTGTTGTTTCTTTCAGTAGTTCTTGGTGCAGCGCCCCCACAGGTGAGCGGGGGAACAGGTTGGTTCAACAGGTTGCTTCAACAGGTTGACAGACTGCACAGTGCAGTGTGAATGCAAACGCACCAGCTCAAATGTAACAAAAGGTCATGAATATTGGTCCCGAACCGAACCGAGTCTACCGGACTATCAGGTGTGAAAACGACCTAAAGCTCCATCAAATCAAAGCTCCATCAGGCAAAGCAGCAGCCATACTTGAACACCACCCAGAAGTGCCACGTCATCTCTGGACCAAAAGTCATTTTGAATGGATCGAGGCAAAGTGAAAACTGTTCTGTGGTCAGAAGAATCAACATTTTGACTTCTGTACTGTAAGGACCTGCCTCTCTGATGATATGGAGGTGCATTAGTTCCTCTGAAATGAGCAGTTGACACAACAGGAAAGACTCCCATCCACTTGAGGTCTCTTTCAGAGAAGGCCTTGCACATTTCAGCAAGACAATGTTCAACCGCATGCTGCAACCAAGCATGTCTTGTAGCAGAAGAGTCCAGGAGCTGAAGTGTCCTGCCTGCACAGCAGACCTGAAAACATTTGACGCATCATGAAATGAATCATTTTGTAGAGGACCAGGACTGTTGAACAGCTGGAATCCTCCCTCAGACAAGAATTTATCTCCAGAAAACCTGGTTGTTTAGACTGTTGATAAAAGATTTGTGAGACATGTAGCTGCCATCAAATTTATAACACCCCCCCCCCCCCCCCCAAAAAAAAAATAAATAAATAAATAGAATAGGTCATTTACTTAGTTTAATCATTCAGTTTGTTTACTGTGCTCTGTTGTGAACAAGATTTGGTCTAAAATTATCTAATTATAACATTAAGTTTTTATTTACATTTGACACAACATCCCTGGAATTGGCTTGTAATGAAGTCTAAAAAAGTTAAATCTGGTCCTCTGGACATTCAAAAAAAACAGTCCAGAGGACCAGATTTAACTTTTTTAGATTTTTCTACCTGGATTATTGAGCATGCATCAGGATATGCTTGTAATGAAGGTTTTGTTCATGTGCATCAGTCCACCAAGGCCAGTGAAGACTTGGATTTCCATAAACAATGGTACTTTAAGCCTGTCAAGACACAAGTTATTTTTAAATGTTTACTTGTTTCGTCTTCTCTTCAGTTTCTAGTTTAGATTAACCTTAATGTTGTCTTTTTCTTGCAGTTCTCTTTAATACTCAACACTTAAAGTAATGAACTCTGTTCTAACGTCTGCAGAGATTGGGGTTGGGCAATAACAACTTTTGATACTTTTAAACTTAATGCTCAAATTATACCCTGTATACAATTTTACCATCTGTCATGCAATTTATTTTAAAGAATTTTAAAAGTTTTTAATTTATGTTTACGGTAATTTTATGTCTGACGTTAGAAATTTAGCACATGTTGATGATGATGATTTGTTTTTTGCTTTCATATCATGTAAAAAAATATATTTAACATAAATGGTCAATAATGTTACAGAATGTCATGTCATTTTAATTTGGAATAAACCTGCCACCATATAATCAGGTGGAGGACTCAACAGGTTGATAACATTCCTGATGATCAGACCAGACCCAGTGTGTTTGTAGAGCAAACAGAGGGAGAGCAGACGCCTGAGCTCCACCATCGTCACCGTTCTAGTAAATCACAGTCTCTCTGTAACAACCGATCAGCTCATGTGAGTTTCAACCGTGTTCCTCGAGGTACATCGTGGGGGGTGCTCCGTGAGTATGGGATTGGGGGGTCGTCGTTAAAGGCTGTTCAGTCCCTATACAAGCGGAGCAAGAGTTTGGTTTGCATTACTAGCAGTAATTCGGACCCCTTCAGGGTGGGAGCTGGACTCCACCAGGGCTGCCCATTGTCACTGATTCTGTTCATAACTTTTATGGACAGAATTTCTTGGTGCAGCCAGAGGGCGGAGGGAGTCCAGTTCTTTGGCCTCAGGATTCCCTCTCTGCTCTTTGCAGATGATGTGGTCCTGTTGGCGTCATCGTGCCGTGATCTTCAGCTCTCACTGGAGGAGTTTGCAGCAGAGTGTGAAGCAGCTGGGATGAAAATTAGCACCTCCGAATCTGAGGCTGTGCTTCTCAACCAGAAAAGGGTGGATTGCTCTCTTCAGGTTGAGGGTGAGGTTCTGCCTCAAGCGGAGGGGTTCAAGTATCTCAGGGTTTTGTTCATGAGTGAAGGAAGAATGGAGCATGAGATTGACAGAAGGATTGGTGCAGCGTCTGCAGTATTGTGGACTCTGTGCCGGTCCATTGTGGTGAAGAGAGAGCTGAGCTGTAAGGCAAAGTTCTCTGTTTACTGGTCAGTCTACGTTCCTACTCTCACCTCTGGTCATGAACTCTGGGTAGAGACTGAAAGAATGAGATCGTGGATACAGGTGGTTGAAATGTTTCCTCTGCAGGGTAGCTGGACTCTCCCTTAGAGAGAAGTTCAGTTATCAGGAGAGACTGAGAGTAGAACCGCTGCTCCTCCACATCGAGAGGAGCCAGTTGAGGTGGTTCGAGCATCTGGTAAGGATGCCCCCTGGACACCTCCCTAGGGAGGTGCTTCGGGCATGTCCAACTGGGAGGAGACCCTGGGGAAGATCCAGGACACGCTGTAGAGACTACACCTCTCTGTTGGCCTGGGAACATCTTGGAGTTCTCCCAGAAGAGCTGGAAGAGGCTGTGGAGGGAGATGTCTGGACCTCCCTGATCAAGCTGCTGCCCCCACGACCTGACTTCAGAACAAGTGGAAGATGATGGATAGATGTGTGCGTGTGTGTAAACCTGTCAGTGGAGGAAACTGCTTTCTGCTTTTTATATTGCTTTAAAGTTTTGTTTCCTCAAATGACTGGGTTGGCCAAAGATTAACCTTTGGTGGCCAAAGCCACCATTGACCGCCCCCTGGCTCCACCATTACACCTGGTGGTGGATAATTTTGTCTCCCTCCACTCACCAGGATGTGTCAGTCCGCACCGCCTCAGATTTGAAACAAAAAGTAAGAATAAATAAAATGGCTCCTCTCAAAACTACAATCGTTCAAATCCCTCATCCACGGGGGACGTTGACGTCTCGCTTGTTTGATTCATGTTAAAGGTTTTTGGGTGGAGCTTGTGCTGCTCTCTTCTCCTTTGATGGCTGCTGTAATGAAAGGTTGTGAAGGTAAAAGGAGAGACATGTTTATCTTTTTTAAAGTTTGATTTCAACAAGATGCACTTTAATTCATGTTGGCTATCACCTGGTTACACAACAGTTTTAAACCACCGGATCCAAAGACATATTGATACTATTTTCAAATAATCAATGATCCAGTAATATATTATCATCTATCTCGGCTTTTTAATTTAAGATAAGTAAGATAGCCAGCAACAAAATCCAAGCTGCTGCTGATGAGGACTTTTCTCTTCTCACTTCTGCTTCTTCAGTTTTGGTGATTATCTGTTTTGGCACGCATGGATTCAAATTGGGACACAGAGTAACACGCAGCACTGCCACAGTTACTTCCTGTATTCTCAGAAAGGCACTGGTGAATATGTAAGCAGGTGTCTCTCTGGCAAGGAAGGTGGGGGTTTACACATGGCCCCCTGTTCTCAGATTTCTTCTCTGCATATCTGTAACCAGTTTGAATTATTCATGGCTGGACTGCAGATGATAATGCACTGACATGTAGATGTTTTACATCATTTGCTCTCTTGTTGAACAATGAGTGTGACTGAATTGTTTAGGAGTTGGTGGAAGGTAAAGCGCTGGGTGTGAAGAGGCATCAGACTGTTGAATAGACTGGATTTATTTTGGCTTGTATTTCTTAAATAATGAAGTTTGGACGTTTTTTTGAACGCTCTGCTACTTCTGCTAACGGTCATTTGGTCTGGTTGCAGAAGGGACCCCCTCGATTCTCGGAGGAGTCCGTCCTGCAGCTGGAGCGAGAGCTTGTGCAGGCCCGACTGAAGGAGGCAGAGTCTCAGTGTGCTCTTAAAGAAATGCAAGATAAGATCCTTGACATGGAGAAGGTTAGGTGCACTGGCGCTGTACCACTTTACTCTTACCCAGTACAAACATGCGTTAAGTGACTTATACCTTGATACCTCTATTTAGAGGAACTCCTCATTACCTGATGACACTAATGTGGCACGATTGCAAGAGGAGCTGATCGGAGTGAAGCTGAGAGAAGCTGAGGCCGTGACTGGATTGAAGGAGCTGAGGCAGCATGTCAGAGACCTGGAGGAGCACTGGCAGGTGAGCCAAATGTCAGCTGGTTGATATAACAGTTCAAATAAGCTACAAATGCTGCATGCACGCTCCATGCTTTGTTTTTCAAGACTGTTTAAATGCATTTGCAGCGCCACCTGTCTCGCATTGCTGGTCGCTGGAAGGACAGCTCCAAGAAGAACACCTTGAGCGAGCTGCAGGACGAGCTGATGAGCGTGAGGCTGCGTGAAGCTGAGGCTCAGGCAGAGCTGAGAGAAACACGGCAGAGGATGCTGGAGCTGGAGACACAGGTCAGAGCTCATCAGTATCATCCCTCTACAAACGCTAAAATGTTTTTGTCCATTTCTGTGTGTTTGTAGTGGGAGCAGAACAGCTCATGAACCAGTGGATAGATTTTAATGATACAGTCAGAAAGTATTTATTATAACTTTTGGAGTCACTTGCGATCAAGATGGCCACCTCAGCTATGTGAGTTTAGCCAACACATCAGTCAATCAAATCAAATGTCTGCTGCAGTACTGGCTTTGCAGAGAAGTCACTTGTTGTAATGTTACGAAGAAGCCTTTAGAGGGAGTTAGCGGTTTGTTCCATACAGCTCCGACGTCTGACACAGCACTTCCCCCCTCACCTTCCAGTGTTTGAAAGTCCCTTTTGCAGGAAAAGTAAATGTTTTTTTCCTCCTGCGCCACTTCAGAATCAGATTCACAGTAACCAGCTGCGGCGAGCAGAGCAGGAGAGTCGCAGTGTCCAGGTCCGTATGGAGACTCTGACAGCACAAAACAAAGACCTGCAGGTGCAGCTGCAAGAGATCAAGAGGAGACAAGCTGAGATCGAGTGCAAGGTACAAACTCTTCTGCCTCTGCAGGGGCAACCATCTCTGAAGCACAACCCGACAACCTGAAAGGAAAATGAATCAACATATAAATACATAAATGCTGTCTTCTGCAGAGTAAGGAAGAGGTGATGGCAGTGAGGCTGAGAGAAGCTGACAACATTGCAGCTATGGCTGAGCTCCAGCAGCAGATCTCAGAGCTGGAGATTCAGGTAAAGTCCCAACTCCAGTGCTGAACTGAACTCCCTCATGAACCACAATCCACACATGTCCACTTTATTCAGCCACACTGGTAAACATCTCACAGCAAACTAGTGTCTAAGCTGAGGTCTTTCTTTTGTTTAGAAGGAGAAGTGTCTAGTCTTTTGTTCTGAATATAACAGCTTTTAATGTTCTCCGGTTTGAAATAGGTGTGGACTACGGTAATAATAAAAATAACTTTATTTATAAACCCCTTTAAGACGACCACAGCTGCAACAAAGTGCTGCACATTTAAAATGAAGAACATTTAAACACATAAAATAATAAAACAGTTAAAACAGTAAGATCAATAAAAACTGCAGTGAAGAGCAAATTTCAGTCTGTGCCAAAAACCAGGGAATAAAAATGTGTTTTTAAGAGTTTTAAGATAAGATAAGATAAAATAAGATAAGATAGAACTTTACTGATCCTGCAGGAAATTGTTGTGCCAGAGTTTCAGTACAAAGGAACATACACAACAAGGAATCACACAATAAATAAAAAACAACAGAGAATGTAAAAATACCAACATTAAGTTCTGAACAGGTGCAGACAGAAACATTAAAGAGTTTATTGTGGTGCAGGATTCATTTTATTGTGTAGAAAGGGGGAGGAGTGTAAAAGTTTGAAGGACTTCCTGTGGTGTTCTGTGGAGCACCTCGGTGGTCTCAGTCTAGGACTGAAGGTGCTGTGGTCAGAGTCCAGGGTGTCATGCAGGGGGGGTGACGTGTTGTTCAGGATCTGCAGCAGGTTCCTCAGCATCCTCTGCTCAGACACAGTGGACAATGGACGGTGAAGGGGCTCGTCTGATGGGAAGAGGGAGATTGTTCCATAGTCTTGGAGCGGCTACAGAAAAAGATCTGTCCCCTCTGAGCCTCCGCTTGGACCTCTGCTCCTCCAGCGTAGGTCAATAGAATAAAGATTTTCCACCGTCAGTCCAACAGCCAGCCATATGTTCATGTATGTGTCTTTAAACATGGTTTAGGGCTTTTGATATGCTCGTCGAAGACAGACGTATTATGGTATACTCTCTGCGTGTCTGTAAACTTTCTCTTGTCTGCCACATAAGAAAATTGAATGAAACTTCATGCACTGATTTAAATAAAGACGTGCTTCACTAGTACTGGAAGAGGTACCAAATGTTAAACCACAAATCCCATCTAGTTATAAAGATTCGTGTAAATAATTGGAATATTGTGAAAATGTTCAACATTTTTTGTCAATCACTTGAGAAAGTGAAGTCATATTATGAGTATATCATTATATGATGTTATACTGTGTCATTACACATAGAGTGAAATATTCCAAGCCTTTATTTCTTGTAATTTTGATCATTTTGGCTTTCAAATAATGAAAAACCAAAACTCTGTCTCAGAAAATTAGAATATTGTGATGAATCTTGTGCACTCTATGCACAGACAAATCCTAGACATGAGCTATGAATGTCTCGTTCCTGAAGTCAAGCCACTCCTGAAACAGACACAATGTCAGAGGCGTCTTACCTGCTGTGGACTTCAGAAAACCCAGTGGACCAGCACCATCAGAGGACATGGACCCAAACCATCACTGCCTGTGGAAACTTCACTCTGGACTTCAACAACGTGGATTCTGGACCTCTCCACTCTTCCTCCAGACTCTGGGACCTTCATTTATAAATGACATAAACATTTATATTCAATTCAGTTTATTTCTATAGCGCCAAATCACAACAAAGTTGTCTCAGGGCACTTTACAGGAACATTCACATAAAAGCCAATTAGTAAAGTTCTCTATCTAAGGAATCCAGCAGACAAGTTGAATCTTGGCTTCGTTGCAGTCTCCCATCCTGAGCAAGCACAGTGGCAACAGTGGAAAGAAAAACTCCCTTTTAACAGGAAGAAACCTCCAGCAGAACCAGCTCAGGACAAGAGGCCATCTGCTTTGACCGGCTGGTTGAGAGGACAGGAAGGAGAGACAGACAAACACAGAATGGTAGGTCCAGGTATAGGTCCAGGTATAGGTCCAGGTATAGGTCCAGGTGTACCTGAAAGACAAAAAAACACATGTTAAGGATAGAAAAAATAATTACAAATACAAAACAGGTTGAGCAGAGTAAGTAAAGACAGTAGCAGAGTGAAAAGTGTGGTCAGTTTGTCCTCCAGCAGTCTAAGACTATAGCAGCAAAACTAATTCAATTCAATTCAATTCAAAAATACTTTATTAATCCCAGAGGGAAATTAAATGTTGTTGTAACTCATCATCCTGGTTTCATTAATGAGTTTATAGATGCTGATGGCTGTGGGCAGGAAGGATCTCTTGTAGTGTCTGTCCTACAACGGATTTGAAGAAGCCTCTGACTGAAGACACTCTGTTGTTGTATGACAGTCTGATGAAGAGGATGCTGAGGGTTGTCTATAATGTTCTTAATTTTATGAAGAATCCTTCTTTGAACAATCATCTCCAAAGGTTCTAGAGGAGTCCCCAGAACTGATCCAGCCTGCTTTATGAGCTTGTTGATCTTTTTTAAGTCACTTGCTCTGGTGCTGCTCCCCCAGCAGATGATGCAGAAGAGACAGCGCTCTCTACAACAGACTTATAGAAGATATGCAGCATCTTGCTGCAAACACTGAAGGACTTGAGCTTCCTCAAGAAGTACAGTCTGCTCTGTTCCTTCTTGTAGACGCTTCACTGTTGTAGCTCCAGTCCAGTCTGTTGTCCAGGTGAACCCCAAGGTATTTATACTTCTTCACCACCTCCACTTCTTCTCCCATGATGAAAATAGGGTTGGACCTGTTCCTGTTTCTCCTGAAATCTACAATCATCTCCTTTGTTTTGTTCACGTTCAAGATGAGATGATTGTTTCCACACCATGCCACAAAGTGGTCCACCAGTTCCCTGTACTCAGCTTCTTGTCCATCTCTGATACACCCGACCACTGCAGAGTCATCAGAATATTTCTGCAGATGACAGGAGTCTGTTTTGTACTGGAAATCTGAGGTGTACAGAGTGAAAAGGAATGGTGAGAGTACAGTCCCCTATGGTGCTCCTGAGCTACTGACCACCTGGTTAGACGCACAACCCTTCAGTCTCACAAACTGTGGTCTGTTTGTCAGGTAGTCTTTGATCCAGGTGATTATTGAGGCCTCCACCTGAGTCTTCTGGAGTTTCTGACAAAGCAAATCAGGCTGGGTTGTGTTAAATGCACTGGAGAAATCAAAGAACATGACTCTCACAGTGCTGTCTGCCTTTTCTAGATGACAGTGAGTTTGCTGAAGCAGGTGTATGATGGCATCTTCAACTCCAAGTCCACGCTGATAAGTAAACTGCAGTGGGTCCTGATATGTGCTTGTTTGTTTAGTCAGGTGGGTCAGCAGACGTCTCTCTAGGACCTTCATGATGTGGGATGTCAGGGCAACAGGTCTATAGTCATTGAGGACTGATGGGTGAGGTTTCTTTGGCACTGGAACAAGGCAGGATGTTTTCCACAACACTGGAACCTTCTCCTGGGTCAGGCTAAGGTTGAAGAGGTGCTGCAGAACCCCACAGAGCTGCTCTGCACAGACCTTCAGGACTCTGGGACTGACACCATCTGGACCTGCAGCCTTATTCCGGTTCAGTCTCTCCAGCTGCTTCCTCACCTGACTTCTGGAGGCGCAGAGGGGGGAGGCAAAGGAGGTATCAGCATCTTCTGATTTAGTTGAAGACCAATATGTAGAAGAAGGGTCCATGACTGAGGTGGTAGATACAATATTTGAGGTGTGACAGGACAGCCTTGGGTCAAAGGAGGGTGGTATGTATGTTTGGCTGTGGGCAAGAGAGGAGGATGCTGAGCTTGTTCCTGAACTGAACCTATTGAAGAATGTGTTCAGTTCGTTGGCTCTGTCCAGGCTTCCATCCTTCTGATCCTCCTTCTGCTTGAAGCCTGTGATCTGTTTCATCCCTGACCACACCTCTCTGATATTGTTCTGTTGGAGTTTGCTCTCCAGCTTCTTCTTGTACACCTCCTTGCTGTTTCTTATCTTGACTTTTAGTTGCTTCTGTGTGCTCTTCAATAATTCCCTGTCTCCCTCACCGAAGGCTCTTTTTTTCTGGTTTAGCAGTCCCTTCAGGTCAGTGGTGATCCAGGGTTTGTTATTGGGGAAGCATCTCACTGTTCTGGTGGGGATGGTGTTGTTTACACAGAAGTTTATATAGTCGGTCACACACTCAGTCATGGCATTGATGTCCTCTCCATGTGGCTGGCACAGTGCATCCCAGTCTGTAGCGTCAAAACAACCCCGCAGGGCTTCTTCAGCTTCCATTGACCATTTTCTCACTGTTTTCTTTATTGCAGGTTGCCTCTGAACAAGGGGTTTATATTTTGAGCAGAGAAACACAAGATTGTGATCTGATTTGCCAAGAGGGGGTCTTGCTTTAGCGATGTATGAATTCTTGACATTTGCATAAAACAAGTTCAGCGTTTTGTTTTCTCTGGTAGAGCAGCTGACAAACTGTTCGAATGTCGGAAGTGTAGCAGAGAGAGAAGTATGATTAAAATCCCCAAATATTGCAACAAACGCACTAGGGTGTTGTGTCTGTAGCTTAGCAACCTCGGAACTGAAGACATCACACGCAGTCTCAGCAACAGCATTGGGTTGAATGTAAACAGTTGCCAAAATAACACTGGTGAACTCTCTTTGCAAATAATATGGACGACAACTTAGTGCTAACAGTTCAATATCTGGACTGCAAAGACGACACTTCATAGTAACATGTTCAGGATTACACCATCTGTTGTTCACAAGCACTGCCAACCCACCTCCTTTCCTTTTGCCACTCCTCTTTAAATCTCTATCTGCTCGTATGGTCAGAAAGTCTGGCAATGAAACGCTGGAGTCGGGGATATGATCCTGCAGCCATGTCTCAGTGAAACACATAACACTGCATTCCCGATACTCTGGATGGGTCCTTGTTAGGGCTTGAAGTTCATCCAACTTGTTTCCCAGCGATCTCA